GCGGCGTCGTGCGCGTGCACGGCGGCGTGGAGCGGCGAGCGCTGCCAGCGGCCGGCGTGCGTGGACGCGGCGTGCAGCGCGCACGACGCGGCGCGGGAGGAGCACGCGCGCAACACTAGTGAGTACTCGCAACGATCACATCAACGCTGTGCAAGTCCTTTATATGTAGCTCAGTAATTTCAAAGTTCACATTTCAAAAACATCAAAAATATATTTGACTAGTGAAAAAAATCAATTGACTACATTGTAAGACTTATGTTTACATCGGTATTAGATCGGGTTTATAAAACAAAGAAAATGTATGTAATCATGTGTAATGAATCTGGTTTTATTCATACACAACTCGGAAGACTTGCAGCAAAGTCAAATAATTTGTATTGATAAAAACTTTGCATCCATGGGGGGTTGTGTATAATACCTCTATATATCAAAGTACTAAACTAAAAAGTATAAAATAAAATTAAAAAACAGCGTTTAAAAAACTTCTAACCTATCAGTGGGTGTGTAAGCTATAATACTTAGTTACTTTTTCCTTTTTTTAGTTTTTACTTTTCGTTAGTCATTCGTTTTTGAAGTCGGTTTTTTTAAACGCAGTTTTTTAATTTTATTCGGCTCTCTTACTCTTCAGGCGTAGTTCCAAACACATGGAAGACAGCTTTAGTCCATCCGATCCCTAAAAAATGTGATCGATCTAATCCGTCCAACTACAGACCGATAGCCATAACTTCCCTCTTCTCGAAAATAATGGAGTCCATTATTAACTGCCAGCTCCTGCGTTACTTGGAAGATCATTAGCTGCTTAGTGACCAGCAATACGGCTTTCGTAAAGATCGGTCGAAGCCACATAACCATGGTATGCTAACAATACCGTTTGTTGGGCTGATGTAGTTCTAAGTCTATTTAGCACGTAAACAAAAGAGTTAACTTTCCTACAGACGTCATTAACATGTGCTTTCCAATCCAAATATTTGTCCATTGTGAATCCTAGAAATCTTACATTGGTAGATTCGTTGATATTTGTACCATCCTACGAGATTTGCCTTGGAATAGTCGCAGACCCACGTGTCTGAAATTGCATGAAAGTCGTTTTACTGATATTTACTTGTAGGTTGTTCCTTGCTAACCATCCTACAACTAAATCGATAGTATTATTTATTTCACTGTCAAAATCATTACAAATTAAATTATCGTATGTCAATATTATAGAAATGTCATCCGCAAATAGTATACATTTATCGGATATAATGTCAGGCAAATCGTTAATATAAATAAGGAATAAGGGTGGTCCCAGGATACTTCCTTGCGGAACACCATAGCTATTTACAAGATACTCAGACTTCACTTGTTTCACCATTTCATTTTCCTCACAAGATACTTCCACACATTGTTCACGATTATCTAAATATTGTTTTATCCATTCTAGTGGTGGCCCTCTTATACCATAATTATCCAATTTCAATAGAAGCAGATTTATGAGAAACAAAATCAAAAGCTTTTGTCATGTCAAAAAATTGCATTGTTCCTTATGCCTATCAATGACATGCTGCAAATCAGCGGCATTCATTGTTATGCGGATGACAGCACAGGCGATGCCTACTACACCGGCCGCGCTAACATTTCTCGGGAAAACGTCATAGAGAGCCGAAACAGACTTGTGTCTGAAATCGAGACTTTAGAGAGAATATCTGATTGGGGTCGACCTAATTTGGTCCAGTTTAACCCAGCTAGGACACAGGTCTGCGTGTTTATCGCTAAAAAACTGCCGTTGGTCGTATCTCCTCAGTTTCAAAGCACCCCCCTAACTGCCTCAGCCGGTATTGGGATACTTGGTGTCAGCATTTCGAGCGACGTCCAGTTTCGCGGTCATCTAGAGGATAAAGCCAAATTAGCCTCGAGGAAGCTTGGTGTGCTCAACAGATCGAGACAGTATTTCACCCCGGCCCACCGCTTGCTTCTATATAAGGCCCAGGTGCGGCCCCACATGGAATACTGTTCTCATCTTGGGGCGGGGGCACCCCAGTACCAGCTTCTTCCTCTGGACCGGGTTCAGCGGCGTGCCGTTCGGATTGTTGGATGTCGGGATGTTTTGAACCGGCTAGACCCTTTGGCAATGCGTAGAGATGTAGCCTCGTTGTGCATTCTCTATCGCTTATACCACGGGGAGTGCTCTGAGGAATTGTTTGACCTGATACCTGCCGCATCTTTTCGCCATCGACCCTCACGACAGAATATACATCCCCACCATATAGATAGTTGGCAGGCCACAACTGTGCGGTTCTCACGTAGCTGCCTGCCTCACACAGCAAAACTGTGGAATGATCTTTCGTCGGCGGTATTTTCGAACCGATACGACCTTCAAATCTTCAAGAAAAGAGCGTAATCCTTTCTAAAAGGCCGGCAACGCACCTGTGACTCCTCTGGTGTTGCAGGTGTCCATGGGCGGCGCTGATCGCTTACCATCAGGTGATCCGTCTGCTCGTTTGCCTCCTATTCCATAAAAAAAAAACATACAAAATTAACTAAAATCGCGGGTTACTCATTGGACTGCGCGCGCTCCTCTTGAGGAAGAACCCCTCTGTGGTTCGAAACTAGTAGAGCTTTTCTCAGTATATTCCCGTGAGTAACCCGCAATTTTAGTTAACAAATTATGTCTCATGGTATAACATAGTGCTCTCATATGCGTACTGACAATCTAAGATAGAGCTGCTGTACGAGAAAAGGAAACTCTTTGTTTTAATGAAGAAAGAAAAGCTCGATGCCATAAAGAAACTAGATTGTCTACCATTCTAATGAAAGTATTAAATTATTAAATTACCTGCTATTGGAATCTAACTACTGACTACATTTGAGTATTGTCCAGTGGAGCCGAACCAACAACATGCTGCCAAGCATTCTTATCTTCAAGATAATCTGTCAGTTTGTAGTAAGCTTGATTACATAATTCGCGCTTAATATATGTTTTAAATTGGCTTTCATTGAGGTCTAGTAGGCTACTTGGTAATTTATTATGACATTTAATGCATAACCCCTTGAAGGATTTCTGTACCCTGGACAGTCTGAATAGCGAAACACAACAGCCAATCACAAGTCGTCGTGTTTCACCTACTTGTTGTACCTACTTGAAAAGAAAATTATTATGTAGAAGAAAAT